AGTAGGAACCTTGGTGTGATCAGTGGTTGCTGTAGCACATGTTCCAGTGGTAATTTCTTTATTAATGTGTCAGCAGATGAAGCCATTAGAGCTATGCAGCCACCAGACCTCCAACATGTTACTGTCTTACGTAAGACTGAATGGCTGAGGATTCAAGATGAACTGTGTGGGGTTAATAAAGAAGAGAAGAGAATAAAAGAGGCAGCTAAACAGCGAGAAAACCTACACCTGCAGTCACAGGAGGTGGTGAAACTTTGGCCTGATACCCTCCATGTAAGTTCCATGTTGAGAGATATTTCCTAAGATTAAATTTATGCTAATAAAGTCATGTGCACTTGCTAGGTTGGAAAGAGCTGGAACACAAAGGCAAAAACACACTGCATCTTACGTACACTTATGTCTTGTCACAGGGACAAAGGCTGAAAAGGCTGCAGGAAAAGAAGATTCGAAAGGAAATTGAGGAGGAGCAAATGAGACTGGCTGATTTAGAAGAAGCAAAATACCAGGAGGAGAGGCGGAAGGAGATTATTGAAAAAGCCAAGACTCAGCTCTACTGTCAAACCGACAGAGTCAAAGGACTACATGTTAGTCTCGCTTATGCACTATTATGCCACTTGAGTATAAAACTGCACAATTTTTCCCTAACAAATGATTACTACTTCCTCCACAGAGTGCACTCCTGCTGACAGAGGTGCTGAAGGAGAGGGATGCTCAGATTGAGCTTAAACAAAGAAGAAAGAGTGCCAATATAGATGTGGACAAAGCATTTCTGCATATGGTACAGACTAGAGAGGATGAAGCCTCGAAACAGGAGCAGGAGAAGGCAATGCAGAGGAAGCTTGTGAGACAGGTTGCTGCAGAAGACCTGAGAAACCAGTAAGACCTAACAATCAGGCTCCAGCTGTATGTGTTAAGAATTTAAAATCCCCAAAACACCACAACGCCAGGACAATGACAATTATATGATTACTTTTCCTCAGAATAAAAGAAAATGAGCTGCTGAGAGAGCGACAGAAGCTGGAGAGCAAGAAGGATGGAGACGAAATCCAGCGTCTCCAAGCGCTGCATCAGCTGGAGCGAAGGATGGAGGCAGAAAGACAAGCAAATCAGAAAAGAAGCCTCATGCAAGCTCGCCAGGTAGGCTCTTATCTGAATCTTATCTAGTATTTAGTTCACTGGACATTAAGTTTATTTAATGCATTTTACAGGAGCATATCACCAACAGATACCTCATAAGAGCCACGGATGCTCAGAAACAGGAAGCTGAAGAGGAGCAAAGGAAACTGTTTCTCTCTACTAAGCAAAAAATCATCAAGTTACGCAAAGAAAAAGAAAAAGAGCTGCTTAGGTAAGACAGAGTAAAACAGTATATATCAATAAATAGCTCTGGATCAAAGTATCTCCAGTGCTACGTCTTCTTAAATATAATGGATACTCGTATGCATTTTCTTCTCTAGAGAGGCCCAGACACATAGAGACAGGATCATAAACAAACTGACGGTCACACAGCAGGAGCAAGCTGTCAGCGAGGAGCAGAAGATCGCAAAGGCTGTCGCAGAGAGCGAGGCAAAACAGGCGCAGCAGCAACTGGAGGAGGATGAGAAGAAAGCTGCAATGTTGAAGTCCATCAGTGTACACAGAGAGCTAATGGTATCTCAAACCGAGCATGAAACATCCAGTGTGTTTCCTCTAAGTCCAATTTTTCATGTAGTGCCATTTTCCCCCCTAATTAACAGTTTTTATTTAAACTTACAAGAAAAAACCCCCACAATCCTCTCTCCTGCCCCAAACACATCTCATCACATAAATGTCTCGTTGTAAATGCATTCTTTATTTTTAATGGACACATTTATAATGGTATTCAACAGTATACAGAAAGTAAGGCAATGCATGATCTTAAATTGAATAAGTCGTACCTTAAATACCTTTTACTGCTCGTACACATTATTTTCCATTCTTTTTCATCCTGTTTCAGACTTGTATCACTTTCCCATGTCTTCTTAAGAGCTTTATTTATGAGCTCAACAGCTTTGGGTGCTCGTAAACTACATGGGTTAGGGTTAGAAGATTCCTGAGTTGCAGATGTTTAAATATTCCAAAGTGGTACACAAGCTCTATTTATTTCAATATACCATCACAGTATATATATCCTCCAATGTGTCTTTTCTGTGTAGAGAAATCCATATTGTTGCTGACAAAATTTAATCATGTCTGTAATGCAAACTGTTTTACCAGAGACAAGAGAAGGAGGAGAACGACAAAATAGAGAGGAAGAAGGCCCAAGAAGCACTGCAGGCCAAGAAAGAGGCTGACAGAATATTTACTGAGAAGCAGCAACTAAAGGTTAAGAAAATCAGAGAAGAAGAAAGAGAGGTGCAAGACTTCAATGCTGCGCAAATGGTAATGTCGGCCAAAACTTAAGTTTTAATCAGAAACTTTGCACCTTCTTCACTGAAACCTGCTTTCCTTTGCCTTGCAAATACAGGCTGAAAAAGGTGCCAGACTTCAGCAGCTGAGAGAACAGGAACATGAGTTTGAAGTGAAGAATGCAGAACTCATCGCTGAAGAGGAAAACCGCTTCCAGCAGTATTCACAGCAAATCATCAACGCTGCAGCAGAGGCTCAGCGAAACGTGTTTCCACTTTGTAAAGCTGCGAGGGAGGGGATCGGAGGTGGGTCCGGTCCTGTTTTTAGTGGAGTCAGGCCAAGTTACCTTGTTCAGGACCGCACTGGAGCTCAGATGCCCAAATATGTGTCATTGGCCACCCAGAACATCAAAAAGCTTCACGAAGCTGTAGATATTCAGGATGCCAAGAGAAGACTTGGATTCACGTGGTGATAGGTTACATCCAGTTTGAGTGCACTTCCAGAAAGCAGGTTCAGTAAGTGTGAGTTTGTTAACTCTGATATGAGGGAAACACTGTTCCTGAGTCAGGCTGTGTGAACCTAACCTGCTTGCTATCAGGTTTCATGAACAAACTCACAAATCCCTCCTACACCCGAATCAGCCGAAACACTCAGTCTCACATCCACATCCCGAACGCCCTAATGTCACCTGCATTTTGTCCCTGTCAGATTTGGACAGGGAAAAAAATGAAGATTCAAGTATATACATACAATCACTTAAATCTTTTAATAAGTGCTGTTGAAGGTTCTACAATGTATTTTATCTTCACAAGGCCGGGCCTATTAACCTCTCAGTAGTGAACATGTTTGATTAAAACTGGAAGTTTCTCTTTGCCAACATACAAAGGATTTGTTTGACAGCACTTATTGGATTGACCAATACTCAGAACAATGGCAAAGTCCAAGGAGCTCCATTCCATTCCTAAACAACTGCAGATTCCAGGATCATCATTTCAAACAACTGTACGCAAGTGCAAGCTCTTCAGATATAGCACACAATGCCATGGTCTGCGTGAAGAACCAAACTGTTACCTCAGATTTGATGAAATCAGTTAAAATGCTCAGTATCAACCCAGTATCCACCAATACTCATGTCTAGAAACTGCTTGAAATGTCCACATCGAAGACAGCTTTACATTCCTGTGAAATGAGAGGGTGACAACCAAGAAAAAAAGCTCCAAACATCTCCAACACCTTCAAACTGAACTGAAATTTTCAGTTGCCCACACGAAAAGCCAAATGCCTTCTAGAAAAAAGTTTTACTGTCAGATGAAACAAAGAATGTGATGACAAGAGGTATGTTTCAAGGAGTAAAAATTAAACTTTCAGACCTAAGAACACTGTACCAGTTGTCAAGCATGGCGGTGGTACCATCGTGCTCTGGCTGTTTTGCTGTCAGTGGTACTGGTACATTGCACAATGTGGATAGAATAATGAAGGAAGATTATTGACAAATTCTTCAACTTTATCTCAAACTCAGAGCAAGACCATTGAAACTTGGACACAACTGGGTGTTCCAGCAGGACAATGATCCCAAACACACATAAAAACCAGTGTTGGAAGGAATAAAGCAGGCTGGCATTAAGCTTCTGGGATAGCTTTCTGAAAGTCTGGACCAAAATCCTATTGAAAATCTGTGAACTATGCTTAAAAAACAAATTTATGCCAGGAAACCAACCATTTTAAACGAACTTCAGCTTGTAGAGCTGCAGCTTGAGGTCTGTTTGAGGTGCAACTTGCTAAGGGACATTTAAGCAAAGATTAGCTGGGGTGCATGTATAATTTTGACCCTGTGTGGTTTAGACAAATCTAAATTAAATTCAAACTTGTGTACTCAGTTCTTGTTTTTTAAGGTTATTAAAGATGTATGCTGCACGATCATTTCAACCTGTAAAAAGAACAGTTCAAAGAAATCAATAAAAGCCCCAAATTATCATGATGAGTGTAAACTGCACTGTATATTTGAAGCTGTCTGTGATTATCACTAAGTGGACAAAGCTCTTTTCTCCCATCCGGTTCTTTAATATAAATGTCACGGACCACACTAAGATTCGTATTAGTCCACTGGATTTTAAATAGAGGCTCTGATCTTTATTTATCTGTTGCCATGGTGAATCCTAGTAACGGAGGTCCACTGATGATGGCCTACGAGCTGAACTCAGAGAGAACATACTCAGGTTTTCTGGGACTAAAAACTCAAGAGTTAATCTGCTCAGAGGTTTTTGAACCTGCTTTCAAACATGCTAAAAACATCTTGATACTGATTGTGCCTCCTTACTCTCCCTGCGTCCAGGGAGCCCATGTTGTATTTAATAAACCGTAAAGTTTTGAAGGTTTTAGTCATGGTAAACATCCACTAAACAATGAGACCAGTGGTAAAAAGCCATCATTACCAAGGTTGAGACTGCCATGGCTTATTTCAAAATATAGAAATCTTCTGTGTCCCAACCTCAACTTTAAAGACAATTTTGTTCATTGTCCAAGTTTAATATATTCTCTTTGTTTTTTCATTGGTCAATTTTGATCTTCTGATGATTTTATTTACTGGCTGTTAGCCACTGCTCCCCTTTAGTTTTTGACAAAATACAAGCAGAGTTGAAGTTTAAAAATAGATTAGAAACAATAACAGTATAACTTTTATCTACAGTCAGTGATCAGGAATGAATATGTTCTCATACCACTGTTTTCTTGGTCCTGTATTTTTAAAATGTGAATATTTAATGGCTGTGTTAAACTAATATATGACTAATATATTGAGGAACAGAAGAGTAATTCACTTTGGTGTCTCAATGCAAGAACGTCCTTGGCTTGAATCCACTAGCTCATCTGAGCACAGGTAACCATGTGATGGACTGACAATCTGTCCAGCATGTGCCTGTCTTGCTCTATGACAGCCGAGATAGGCCCCAGACTTCCCACAACTATAGTAACTCAACCTCTTGTGCCCTACTTGCAGTACTTTCATATCCCACTAGGGGGCCATGACACAAACTGTGGGAACCACATGACCACTGCCTCGAAGGGAAAGGGCTACACTAAAACATTGCTGCTTTATGCTGACGTCAGCATCGTTAATATAGAAATGTAGTGTAGTACATTAATCTTTTTGTGTCATTGTAAAGTCATATAATGTTCTACTTAAACAACAATGTTTTAAAGAGCTCAAACAAGGAACGTGCTTATGCGCCCCAATAACTAATATATTGCTCTGAAGTTTGGAGATGATCCAAAGGAAACTTAAGCTTTTTCATAATTAGTATGATCCTGAACTTTGACCTTCAAGCACTATATGCTAAAAGTGCATTTTATAATCTTTACCCATATGATTTCAGCCAATTCTGCTTCAAACTTTAGCTATATAAACTATAAAACTTGAGATTAAGATACTCGAAGTTTCACGTTGCATGAATGCATCAATGTGAGGTTGTGGGGCATTGTATTATAATACAAAAAGTGTGTTACCCAGGCCTCTCTATGCCCTTTTATATAGTACTTGATATGGTTTCTAGAATTTTTTTTTTAAGGTCAACTTTAACCTTGGGTGCTAAGAATAAGGGTGCTTAGTCAATCTCGGTACTCATGTCCCCCAAAGCCTACTATATATTGAAGTTTGAAGATTATATGTTTTAGGGAAAAAAATTACATCAGCTTTAGCCATTATGGCAACTACAATCACACAAAATTTGAAAATGATATCTTGAAAACTGGACACTAGACTAAGACAAACAGAATTCATACTCCCTTGCTTTGAAGGGAGCAGAAGCACATCACTCAGAATTTGTTATTTGAAATGATGGAAAGAGGACTCATCAAACTAAAAATAACCTCTGGGAACGGATTTCCACTGCAATGACAGAGTGATACAACCACTAATGACTCACTAAAAGGTAATAATTCAGTGTTGCTTTTCCGTAATAACGGTATCACTTAACGAATAAAACAAAAAACAATGAATTAAAATCAAACAGAGCCTTTTAATTCATCAAACACTCCAGCAGTTCTTAAAATCAGTTTGAACCAAACAGAACAGAAACAAACTGCTTTTATCTTATACTTAACAGCTTGGCATTAACATTTTCTCTTTCAACAGAATTACAGTAAATGGTTAAAAAACAAACAAAAGAAACATCATGGGTGTACATAATCTGACACACAATGACAAAGATGAGCATGCAAGACATGAGTGTTTTCTTCCAGACTGATTGACATTAAAATAACTCGAGGATACCTTCAAAATCTTTTTCTCCCCCTCTTTAAAAATTTTTTTTTTTTAAACAAACTAAAATCAGAGAAAATTTTAAGTCAAGACAGAATTACAGAATTTACCACATGATGTAAAATTCAGAAAAAAAACCCCAACAACAACAAAAAGAAAACCTGCCTCCAATCTGACTTCACGCGATTAAATAATGTCAAATTTAGAAGAATATCTGGTACGTTTACAGCCCTGCCTGTGCAGTACACACACTTTGTAGTTACAAATCCTTTGTTTCTAGAATTGCTCCAAAACGTCAGCTACCAGTCAACTGTGTTACACACTCAGTGGTGGACAAACCCACAATCCCCATAAAGTTCAAACTTCAGCCAAAGGTTGAGGATGCTACAGTTTGCACCTTCAGGTATGAGCCATTTTATTTAAGGTCTTTTCTACAGTCTGTTATCTGAATACCACAGTTATTTAACAGTCAAGTAATTAGCTTTGAGGAACCTTTTACAGTCATGTTATCTTTGGCAGAACTGTTTATTTTGTACTGTATGAGGACTGTGATTGTGCCCCACTGTAGATGGAAAGCTGACGCTGCGTACTACATGTACACTGTAAAAAATAAGAACATTGCGCGTTTAGCTGCTGTCAGAGCTGGAGCTAGACCCCGACCGATTTCTCTTGCTATCATTTCTATCTTTGCCTTTCGTACTATCTGGTCTTTGGCTGGCCGGGCTCCTTCGGTCTTTGGACTTGTCTCTTCTTTTAGAATCTGGGCTCCTATGACTCTTCTTTTTCTCTTCTCTGTCACTCTCAGAGCTGCTGCTACTGCGTCTCCTCCTCTGGCCGGCAGCCTCTCTGTCTTTGACTTTTCTATGAGAGGATCGATCCCTGCTTCGGTCTCGCCTGCCACTCCTGCTTCTTGAGCGCCTGCCTCTGTGCGAGTCCCTAGCCTTACTCCTGTCTGGGCTTCTTGTTCGATGTTCTTTATCCCGGGATGTTCCTTGTCTCTTACTCTCCCTATCACTGTTATGTCTTCTTTCCCGACTCCTGCTGCGCTCTCTGCCCCTCTCTCTGTCCTTCTCTCTTTTTTCTTCTCTCTCTTTTGATGCTGAAGTCCTACCTCTGTCTTTGTTTCTGCTGCTTGATCTGTGCTCATCCTTTTTGGCAGCTCTCTCTTTACTTCTGGACTTTGTCCTGGTTCTCTCACCATTTCTACCTTTTGTGTCTTCTTTATGCTTTTTGTCAGACTCATGACCCTTATTTCTGTCTTTACTGTGATCAGATTCTGCCTCCTTTTCTTTCTTATGAACATTTCTATCTTTGCTCCTTGAGCGACCTCTCCTCTCGTCACTTCTGTGCTTGTGACTCTTCTCTCTGCTTTTTGACCTTTTCTTTTCTCGGCTTTTACTGCGACTATGGGATTTATCCTTTTTCTTTGCCTTGTGTTTATCATGCTTCTCATCCTTCGCTACAGTATCCTCCTCCTTACTTTTAGATCTATGAGATCGAGTTTTCTTGTCTTTTTTACCCTCAGTTGTATGTTCAGCTTTTGAACTGGAAGTCCGTCTCTCTCTTTTCTGTGCTTTAGCAGCCTCATCCTGACCCTCATTCATGTCACCTCTGTAAAAGAAATAGTAGAAAAAGAATAATAACAATAATAAACTTTAGGAGTTAGACAAAGAATCAATTTGGCAGACAAAAAAAATATTTAAAAAAAAGTAACTTTTCTGTTTTGTTATATAATCAAGTGCACATCCACTCACCTGCCCCTTTATTAAGTACACCTGTTTAGCTGCTAATATATATATAATCTGTCAATCACATAACAGCAATTGAGTGTATTTAGCCCACCGTAATATTGCTAACCATGCCTGTCATTTTATGAGCACAGTGTAAAAAATCCACTCACATGGCTCATTTATTAACTATTAAAAAAAAAAAGTCTGTCACACCTTTATGTAAAAAGTTTCAAAGGTACTGTAACTCAAAAGAAATTGCTTAGGCCCTTAAGTTTTAAAAAGTGTTATAGAAATGAAATCATACATGTTGAGAATAATATTCCAACCGTTTAAATATTCATGCTTTTTCAGTGGTCACTGCAGTTTACCAAGAGCTTATGTCTGTGGTCATCTCAGGTACAAGGCTCAAGGCTCAGCACGTTCTCCGTTTTATGACAAACACTTCATCTCTGCTAGGTGCACAACAGAGGTGTCAATATTTACCAGCTTAG